CATAGAATTTTAATACTGGCGAAAGAAGGAAACCAGAGAGACGAGGAAGAAGCAAGAGGATAAGTCGGTCGCATTTTTACACGTTCCGCTTCTTCGGCCAAGTAAAACTCGCATCGGGTACCGTAAAATCATTAGGATAATCAGGTTCGTACACGCCAATGAAACTGGCCGAATATCGAATTCTTAGCCGGAAGATTGAAAATTCTCCGAACGTGTGGAACTCTGCCAACTCTAATAACTCGCCTAAAAATGCGGCAGTGCCTTTACGGGGGCTGAGCTGAGGTCTGCCTTCTGTTCCCGGTAAATGCGAGATTATTTTATCCCCTGCCGAGTATCCGAAAATGAAATTGCAGGAAATAAGAAATTTAATATTAAAACTGAAATAGAGACATAATCATAAGTTTAAAAAGATTGCGAAAAATAAATGATGAAAAATTTTACGCATTAAAAAGTTAATATGACCGAGTATGACACATTTCACGACAATTTCGACTTCGTTTATTTGTTCTATTTTAAAAAATTTGATTACTCGCCTAGAGAGGAAGTCTTCTTGCCATTTTGCACCGTTTAGATGAGCTATGAGCGGAAGTTTGATTCAGGAAACCTGGTTCCGCCTTCATTCTATCTCGAGCTCGCGCTAATGGTGCCTAACTCAATTCCAAGAGGTCGAAGGTTGGACACGCGACTTGGCGAACTCGTAACTCGACTTTCGAAAGAGCCGACTCTATTTCTCGTGAGAGGACATTTAAGTAAAAATTATCTTGTCAATGGAACAAAGTAAAAATTGTGAAAATTGTATTTCAGTATATACATGCTACAGTAATTTAGTTCAAATACGCTAAATAGTATTTTATAGATGCCAAAAAAAAAACACAAATATTAACACATTTTCACAAGTAAAGACAATATTTAAAAAAAACAATTATATTTTTATATTTTAGAATAAAAAACACTAAATATAACTAGCTTAGTGTTTAATAGTTTTGTATGTGAATTTTTAAAAACATTTTCCACTTCGGCACGTTGTTTGAAGAATTGGAAAATGTTTTTAAAGATGTTATGGCTGTACAATATCGGCTAAAAAATTTTTATTATAAATATGCTTAATTGAAGCCAACTTCAAAAAACAAAATAAATAATTTTAATTATAATAGCTTTATATAGTGGAATGATCATATTTTGCTGCAGGTAAATAATTTTTAAACGAGTAAATGGATCCAAATAAACTTTTGCACGAATATTTATTAAAATTTTGTTAGTATATATAAAAAGTTTGATTTAATTTGTAATGCTACGACCTCATCAAATATGCAAATAAATATTGCAAAACACAATTTACATAAGAATTAAGGCAAACAAAAAATTAAATTAATCAATCAGAAAACTCTGCTCCAATTTTACAAATATTCAGACATAATAATAGAATAATCTATGAATTTTTATATTTTTTATAATGCTTTAAGTGTGGTAATGATTGTGAGAGATGATACATCTTTAAAAATTCATATACAAATATTATTAGGCATCAATCTAATCTTGATCGTTTTTTTTTGTTTATTTGATTTATTCATATAGCGTCTAGTTCGACTTATTATTTATTAAAATTATACATCATACTTGTATAATTCCGCGATTTGCTTTGGTATATTACAATATTTTTTTTCACAGGCAGATAAATATCAACAAATTTACGATCAATAACAGAACAACTGGATAAATTTTTATGTTCGATACCAAATATACGGATTAAAGAGCGGAAAAGTGAGTAAGCGCTCAAAAAATCGTAAACCCGGTTGACAGTTTCCACAAATTAAACACGATAATGAACCCTATATGCCCTTTTAAGATCGCCGGCACTTGCCAAGTGGAAACGAGGGATCCTTTTCTTTTGGTGAACGATGGAACTGCCTTGAAGAGAGAGAATTCAATGGCAGGGCATATAAAAAACGTGTCGGTTTCCTTTGCCCTAATCGTCTCCACGCGGGACCACCGAGCAACTAATTTAATTCTGACAATTTGTACACTCGTTCGAGTCTTACGAACGCTCGATTGCGTCCCAGATAGACGACTATTAAAAAAGCACAAGCATTTCCGCAACATGTCCGAAACAGATAAAATGTCAGAAATTAAACTAAGTTCAAATTTCCCTGCAAAATTAGATATAATTAACTTTTATTACATCTCCTCAGAAAAATATTAAATTCATATTTGGATTTAAATTTTATTTGGATTATATACGAAAACTCTTCTAACTTTAATCTCAATATACTCTTTAGTAGTGGCAAACAAAGAATATATGTATATAAACACACACAGCAAAATACGAATCTGGTGCAACATATTGGTAAATTGAGGATATTTCAATATGTTTTCGCATCCCACGATTGTTGCAACATAATACGCTAACCGATAGCGTGCGCAAAATAGTATTTTATTCGGGTTATACCGCATAGTATCTACATAAAACCGTGTTTCGTGATATTTCTGTACACAATGAAACTGTGCAATCGATTGGCCTCGTAGACTGGATGTAACTCGACAGAATGCATTTATCCATTATTTTTCCGATGTTTTGTAAAATCGACGACGACGTTCGACCTTTCGGCCCACGCTACTATATATCAACGCTTTTAGTATACAGAAGGATCTTTCACGCGTTCGTCATATCATCGTCGCGGCTCGCGACAGATCTCGTGAGAAATATGGAAAACAGACACGTATGTATATGTACCGACACATCCGATCGGATCCATTTGTCCATCCGGCCGAGGAGCAGGCGGCAGGAAACGCGACTCGCACAATTCGGGAGATATAATTTTAGATAGAAACGTAGACCGCGTACCACCCTCGCATGAACCTGATACTCCCACTCGCTATCAGCGATATTTCAACCCCCGTACGGGGTAGAATTTACGTCACGCGTCGCGATCGTCACATTTTACGCGAGACTACATTACGATTCGTTCGAGGTAAAAAGTATCCTCGTAAAAGAGGCAACATTATAAATTAATGTTCGCGAGGAGATCTGGCGGAAAACCATGTGGGTGGTTTCCTGTAGATAAGAATATCGAGGAAAAATTTAACTCGGACGTGTCAAGGAGATATGTCGAAATTAATATAAGTCGCGCGTGGGAATACCTGTGGAAATCTTTCAATTAATCTATTCTTGATATTGATTTCTTCTTTCTAAATGCAACCTTTTCAGAGCATTTTTTACCTTGGCTTTAATCTTCCGTCTGCAATCGTATTTTTATTCCCTACATTTGCAATCTAGATTTTTGTCCAGCCCAAGTTCTTTTACTATTCTATGTTTAAAAAAAATTTAAGGTTGATACTTTTCAATATCTTTCTTACGTTATCAAATAGTTTTTAATTCAAATGTTAAAGCCTTTATTTAATAAAAATTGAATTTCAATAAAAATGAAAATGAAATTTGAGAATTAAATTTCTTTTATTGCGCCAAAAATTGGCAGACGTTAAAAGGGTTAGGGTATAATATAATACGTCAAAGTGAATGTCCGATTTTCGTCGAGAGATGTATTCGGTATACATCGTACGGGAAATTGAGCTCTTCGAAATTAGACCGGTTTCGACTACCATGCGTATGGTATCCAATGGAATCACAGGACATTATGAGCCCCTGGACGAGTGAGAGTGATAGTGAGATAGATTGGGGATCACAGTGCGTCATTTGCACCCGTTAACGCGACACCTCGACCGAACTGGAGAGCAGCTGGTGACAGATTTTCAACTCGGAAACCAACACAGGACATGGATCCCGCCGCTACGGAGACCGGAAACCGTTTGCGGCAGGGGTACGACGACACACGAGCCATTACAAGGACGAGGCAAAGGGATTAAATCGAATCCGCGATTATGTCGTGTGTCTGTTACGCTTCTCTCTGCTGTCTATTAGATGTTTCGATTAACCCTCGTGCTGCGACAAAGATATTCCGGAAGAAAACTCTTCCATCTAGCGTCTTTTCGAGATAAATAATGAAGAATCTAACGCATTAATAATTGGGGAAAACACTATTTGGCAAAAATCATAGACATTTTTTATTACAGAAGATTCAAAATTTGATCAAATTCTTCTTCTTGTTAAATCTGTCACTGAAAGTGCCAGTAAAAATGGGATTAGCTATTGAGATAAATGTCTGTATCTCTTTCCCTCTCTCTCTTTTGCTCGGTGTTCCTTATTATCCTGCCGTGATGTATAAGCTGCTTGCCAATTTAGGGATTAACTTTCGACACCCTCGCTTTTCCGGTGATCGAGTCAGCGTTTCCGAGGCTGGAATCCCACGCGGGTGACGAAGGGCGAGAATTCCAAAGGGAAGGAGAGGTAGAGAACGAGTTAATCGTCGACCGGAGAACACGGAGGCTGAAAGAGTGTTAAGGTTCTCGTCTGGTACCCGTGCCAGTCATCCCTCAAGTTTCTTCTAGCTATTCTCCTTCCACCTACCC